AATTCTAGATATTCTCAATGTATGGACATCTTTTATTGATTATACCGACATCTCTTACATTCAACAATCTCCTCATTTCGTAATCATATTGTGATTTTACGACATAATCATAATTGTTAAATTCCGTTTAACAACACCCTCCCACATCATCTTCACCAACTTACAACCTTTCGAAATTTATCCCCCTAATCATGGAGTTTTAAACTTACAACCTTTCAAAAATCACTTTCCTTTCAATGATCGACTGCCTTTTTGCCCGATTCTCGTACCTATGAGGTTTGCTGTTAGCATGGATTTAAAATCGGGCCTCCATTTCAATTCTTTGAGATTGGAAAATAAGAGGGCCAATTGGGGTTTTTTTTCACTGTCCCTACATTGTTACATGATATGACTTTAAGTCTACGAAGATCCTTCAAAGGAAGAACCACTAATTCTAATCCTTCTGTTGTTAGCAACGAGTATCCTTGAAGCGAAAGAGACTTTATATATAATTGGTCCTCCCCCTAGAGAACGATATCTCGATCAGTCACGCCTTTTAGCATCGTCGGATTCCTAGCACTACCGCGCACCCATCAGTCACACCATCTCGATCAGTCGCGCTATGATTTTTCGCTGTGGATATTGTGTGTGAAGAAGAGAGAGAGATAGATAGATAGAGAGAGAGAGAGAGAGAGAGAGAGAGAGATCTTTTACCATAAGTATCAGGGATGGTTCTTTGAAACTGATACATTTCTTTGATTAATAAATGAAATATTTCTTAACTGATGGATAAGTTATGTGGTACATCTGCAAATAAAAGAATAATTTACAATTATGTTGCTATTATTTACATAAGGCGTGTAAATGTGTAAATAAAATTTTAATATAATATGTAGGGTGCAATTTTTCATTTTACAATAGGCTCAATCTTGCCGGGCCAAATTTGCAATTCTCTCCTTCATAATTTTAAGTTGATTAAGAAAAGAGTAAAGACCATAAATACTAGATTGGTTGAACCCCACTAGCCACTACCCAAACTCGTTTGAGCTGCCGACACATCCATATAGACGGCCCAAAACCATCTAGATGTGCATTTACACTTCTAGTGAATTCTAGCTTTACGAAGAAAACTCATGTTAAAAAATCACACCATTGTGTTTGTGTTTGTTTGTGGTTGTACTTCATATATTTTTAGGTTGTGTGTATCCCCAAAAAAGGATATGAGTTTATGGTTTAATTTATTTATAAGAAATTACTATGGTAACATCCTCATAAAAAGGAAGATCACTAAGTTGAGGAATTGCAATCGTATATGCTGAATTTCCCAACTAGTGTGACTCAAACTCCGCCCAAGGTCACAAGTCATGTAATTGACAATATTTAATCCATACATTATAGCTAGGAAACAACATTAAAAAGAAGACGTTTCTAGTGCTCCACTGTGATATTTTATGAGGCGATTTCGCATTAAGGTTAACTGTATATGCCTCGACTTTGACTTTGCAATTGTTTTCTTCAACCTCCTTAAGTATCTTTTTGATATTCACAAACCACACAAGCAAAATCTTAATACAAAATTTTTATGTGTTTATAAGATGGCAACCGAAGGAAACTAAACATCTCAACTGACCGCTACACTGGCTATTAATTCATTCACGCTGATGATAGCCGCTCCTATCCTAGGCGAGAGACTGCGGAAGTTTAATTGCTCTGATTCAAGAGATAGAAGCAAAAGACGCTTTTCTACCTCACAACTCTCTCCTTTTTTTTTTTTACTTTTGTAGGACCATTTGAGCATTCTCGAAAGTGAGACCAACATACAAAAGCTTACGGGCTCCGATGCTTTGCATTACACTGATTTCTTATGTAGAAATTGTTAGAGTAAAGTACCCGACTTCCAATCTGATTTAATTTTTTTTCTACTTATAAGGACAATTTATTGGAAGTTACAATAATTGAGGCGTTGCTTTATCTTATGTCTGTTGGAATTATTTTTATCGGAGTTAAATCCAAAGATTCAATCCTCGGGCCGTAACCCAAGAAAAGTTAGCTAGATTATTTGTACAAAAATTCGAACACAATAAAAAAATAAATTCCTAAACACTCTAATTCAATGGCTTTTGGTTTCAATTAGCAACTAATGATTCTCAAACAATGTAATGACAATTTCCCAATTCCAAACAATATTCAGATAATAATGAGGTTAAGGAGTCGGAGATAACCATTTCTGGTTCTAAGCGCAATTGTTGAGCAAACAGTCGATCAGTTAAGAGTTCAAATAACCTACTCATCTACAGGCTCATTCTCATTAACTTTTCGTAACAAGAGAACAGACATGAACAATCAATTATCAAGTCAATTAACACATAGACAATACGTTTACGAACAAGCCAATTCTACACGAACTTAGATCGACCAACTTCTCTCCTTTCGGTTCTACAAGTTGATTAATTAGATTAGAATGATGGCCAAGTAACTAAACCTAGGTTCAACTCAGCTCGAACAGATTGAACGACAAACAAGCACATAAATTCCAATCGAACCAGAACAATTAGCTCATATCCCTAACGAAACGATTTAGCTACTCATATTGATATCGACCACAACATAAAATTCAACGAAATAATTCACATCCATAATAATATGAAAGGAACTTACAATTAATCCAAGTCGAGAAATGAATTCTAAATACATGCCAAATTGTGTTCGTCTGGGAGTACCACTCTCCAAAATTGAATCTAAGCAAAAAACTAACAAAACCAATGTTTAGAAATAAACAAAAACTAAATAAAACGCAGTCTGGGAGAATAATAAGCCCTAAGAT